TGAAGGGAGCAAGAATGATTGGCAATATAAAGAAGCAGGAGGAACCACTTATGTGGTTAACAGATTAAATTTATGCCCAATTAAAAATTGGCTAATTTAATACCAAAAGGAATAACTGGATCCACTAAAGGATTTTAATTAGATATATCTGACTTACCTTACACTAACAAAACAGGCTACTTGTTTTACTATGATGCCATTTGCTAAAAACTAAACACATTTTTCCTATATCAAACTACTGCATAAATTGGGCAACATCTTTCTTCAATGACTAAGCCTTATTACAAGTAGACATTATTAAAAACTGTCAGCACATAAAAGTTGCACTTATTTCTTTTAAAAGAACAATTTAAGGAACGTAAGTCTTCTCTATCAGCAGGTTAAAATGGCTGATTTAGGAAAACAGAAAATAACCTTTTGGAACCCTCCTCTCTGCTCTTTAAAAAACAAAAAGGGACCAACCATAAAAGCATTTACTTGAGCAGGAGAAATAACCCAGAAGTCTTAACAAATAATCATCAACACCACCACCAACTGTGTTCACACATGGACAGAGCTCCTGCCATACACACTCTCTATGGTCAGAGAAGAACATGTCAATTATAAACCCTAAGCCTGGAGTACAACATGACATGGTTTTTATGTTTTTCCCAGTAAGATTTCTTCTTCTCAGGGCAAAATGAAGTTTACCCTGTTCACCATTTACACAGTCTTACCTTCCTTGACACGATAAAGCATTGTCAGTGTCTCATCACTGGTCAGAGCAGTAACATGTAGGTTATTTACTGTTGGCACTTGGTCAGCAAGAGCTGTCAGTTCATGAAAATGTGTAGCAAACATACAGAAAGCACAGATTTTGCTAGCAATGTATTCTGAAATAGCCCATGCTAAGCCAAAGCCATCATAGGTGGAAGTTCCTCTTCCCAGCTCATCGATGATTATCAGGGAGTTTTCCGATGCTGTCCTGAAAACACAAGAACATTTTAGAACGTTTGAGAACAGCATGAACTCTGGATATTGGAGTACCACAAGTTATGTGCTAGAGGCATAGCATAAAGGAGGCAAAAGACCTTTCCTATTACATAACAACATACAAACGAAGTACACATAGAGTGTCACACAGATCATTCCAAATTAGTTTCTTTGTCCCATTTAGGCTTTGGCCTCCTGGTGGCAGCTCTATATGACCACTGAAATAAACAGAAGGCTACTTCAAGAACTTATGAGCCTGCTAAAAAGTACTTGAGATCCTCCACTGAGATCCTACATAAAAGGAAATCTTAAATGCATCTTTCTTAGAGCACCACCTTTCCCATCACCCCCAGGCAACAAAATCAGATAAGCACAGGACTTACCTAAGGATTGAAGCAGTTTCTAACATCTCAGCCATGAAAGTAGACACACCTTTCAGCTGACTGTCTCCAGCTCCCACCCGAGCCAGGATACAATCCACAATGGTTATTTCTGCAGAGTCGCATGGTACAAAACACCCAATTTGGGCCATAAGAACAATCAGCCCTGTCTGTCGGATGTAGGTTGACTTTCCTCCCATGTTAGGGCCTAAAGAAGAAATTTTACAAATGCATTAAAAAACATAAATCTTTTAAAATTCAGCAGTTCTTTTAAAAGAGAACAGGCTCTAAATTAAAACAAAGAGTGTTTAAACTTATTACTCTTCTTGCCAGAAAAGAGCAGCAGACTTGTCTAACAGGTGCAACAAGTAGCTCCACTACTAATAAGGCTTGCTTGTATGCCTTACTGAATGCTGCTTTTTCAAAAGAAAGGTGATTGGAGAGCATTAGGGGCCTTTGTAAGTTTTGGGACTTTTCAGAAGTCTAAGCAGTCATCTAGAACACATGTCCATACCTAAAACTAATAAGTTTTAATTCAGAAATCATCAGTATTGCTGCTTAAGAATGAAAATAATTTGCTTTCACCTCAAACAACAATTACACTTTGTCTGTAAAAATGAAATAGCTTAGTTACAGACCAGGTACAAACTAATGGGCGATTTAAATTACAATCTAAAGGGATTCTGAATCAGCAAAACCAGATATTAGTTAATTTTAACTGAAGTACAAATGAAATAAATATTTTCCAGAAAACTAATCACTAAAACCAATTTTACACTTTTGCTAACCAGAAAAACAAGCGTGTTACCATGATTTATTCAGATTTTTAGGTTTTATTTTTGATTATGTTAGAAGTGTTCACTAACCATTCTCTAATTTCAGATCTTTGCTACTCAAAATGTATGTCAAGGACATCTGGATGGAAATTAAAATTCAATTAAATGTATAAACACTAAAAAATGTTTTCCTGTGTAGTAAAATTATCTTAATTACACCAGAGAATAGGGGGGGAAAAGGGTACAGTCATTGAAACATCTTTTGCATTTAAAATCAACTTTAATACTAAACAAGGAAAACATCAACAAAGAGGCCGCTTAAAATCTTGCATACAGAAGGTGCCTACGTGGCTACAGTACAATTGATGCCTAGTGGAATTTTCCAAATCACTTAAGCAGGTTCAGGTTCTCCCCAAGTCAGGCAACGTCAGGAGCTGGAGTTACGTTCACTAAGGCAAGGAATACATAAATTAAGGAAGGATTAATTTCTTATTTCCTACTGTCCTAGCAGCCCCTCTGTTCTTCCCAAATGACTATTTCTGAATTAGTGACCACCTTCTCCAAACAGTGCACTATAACTACAATCATAACAACTAATTCCATGACTATTAGTTTGGAAGATGAGAAATATGTCTGTATGTGCATAAACATGTAAAATATCCACTATCAAAGGAAACATTTCACTAGAACATTGTGGATGCTTTCTTTTTCTAATATAATAAACAACAATAGCTTACAAATACCCTTCCTTCTTTTCCAGAGCTAAATCTTATCCCCCATACAGAAAGATGAATAACTTGCTAGCTGTTTACCCTTTGTTGATTAGAGAAATTATTTTGACAGAGTTTTGTTGGGTTGTTGGTTTGTTTGCTTGTTGTTTGTTTGTTTTTTTAAAAGACATCATTATTGGAAATACTCAAGACATTTAAAATGTAAACATGAAAAAGAGAACAGAAACATTTACCAGTAATAATGTGGAACATCTGCTTGCCCTTCTCAAATGTAATGTCATTGGGGATGAAGGCCACCTCATCTTGCACTTCGATGCAAGGATGCCTGGCACCCTTCAGCACAATCCTTCCTTGCCCCTTTTCCAGAATGACAGGACGGACATATGGCACTGGTGCTCCATTCGACACATGAGCAAAACTGACAATTGCATCTAATTGAGCTATCACATCATTCATCGTCTGTATTGGTTCTGCATAACCTGTTTTTGATTAGAGATACACAAATTCAACAGTTAGAAATTTTTTGTTCTTGCTGAAAAGATATCTTAAAGCCTACATTGAGCCCATAAATTAATTCATCTGCATTAAAAGTCAATTTTGTTCAAGACAGCAGTCACCTTCTGTGAGAGTCTAAGATGTAATCCTTAAGTTTCCATGCTTTGACTACAAAGCGGACTTCATCAGACTAAGAAAAGGAAGAGGTGAGGCCATGTTGATTGTTTTGTCTTAACACTAGACAATGAGAAACAGCTTATTTTAGTACAGGAACGCAAATGCTCACAATGGCAAGATGGCTGGAAATCCAGTTAAGTTTCCTTCCTCAATAATACACTGCATTTTGATGGTCACACAAGCAAAGATAACAAAGGCACAGCACTGACAATTCAGATGCAACAACCATTTATGTTTATGTGAATGATGGCATGGAGAGGTCTGTAAGATACAATGCCTGTGATACCAGACAACTAGACTAGATGGCCCGGCATCCCCAATACCAGTTTTTAAGTTTTGGTGTTCGTTTTTTTTTCACTGAAAGGGATGAGGGACAGGAGTCTACAGGGTAAACGATCTAACACCTGTAAATGAGATGCATGTATCAGAAGAGGTGAGCAGTGACCTGCAGAAAGAGCCCTACCTGTACAAATTACATTTACTGTTCTAACATCATCTCCTGAACTGGCTAGGTATAGATCATTAAGAGGACTTTAAATCACTGTCATTCAAGAATTATACACATAATCCAGACTTTTTCATCAAATTGCCTCCACTTGGGGAAGAAAAATGCTTTTTAAATACATATAGACATTTGTAAGTCTATGACTGCACACCACAGAAGCTTTAAGCAGCAGCAAAAGGCTTTATTAAATATACTAGGTATTTATAGATGACGTACTGAAGCTAATCCCACTACATAATACCCAATTAACTTTCCACATAAATATACAAACCACAGTATGCTACACACAAAAACACAACACTTGAAAATTACCAAGATAAAAAAAATAAATAAATAAATCTGACAAGCTACTGATTTTGCAATATACTGGCAAATTCCTGTCCTGGTTTCGGCTGGAATAGAGTTAATTTTCTTCCTAGTAGCAGGCATAGTGCTGTGGTTTGGATTTAGTAGGAGAAGAATGTCGATAACACACTGGTGTTCTAGTTGTTGCTAAGTACTGCTTATGCTAGTCAAGGACTTTTCAGCTTCCCATGCTCTGCCAGGTGCACAAGAAACTGGGAGGGGGCACAGCCAGAATAGTGGATGCAAACTGACCAAAGGGCTATTCCATACCATATGACGTCATGCTCAGTATAGAAACTGGGGGGGTTGGCCGGGGAGCAGCGATTGCTGCTCAGGAAACTGTCTGGGTATCGGTCAGCAGGTGGCGAGCAATTGCATTGTGCATCACTTGCTTTGTATATTATTATCATTATTATATTGTTATTATTATCATTACTATTTTACTTTATCTCAATTATTAAAGTGTTCTTATCTCAACCCAGGAGTGTTTCTCACTCTTACTCCTCTGATTCTCTCCCCCATCCCATCAGGGTAGGGGGAGTGAGCGAGCGGCTGTGTGGTGCTTAGTTGCTGGCTGGGGCTAAACCATGAAAATTCCTTATCATGACAACAGGTCAGAGCTTATCAAGATTTCCACCATAACTTAATGCACACTCAAATATATTAATACATCAGCCTAAGAAGTGGGGTTTTTTTTATCTTTAATACTAATGAATATTAAGCTAAGGGTAAAGGTGCTTTCACTTTCCGCTTCTCTCTTTCAAAGAACTAAGATTTGTTCTGCTGGAACTAGTGCCTTTGGGAGAGGCAATATTTACAGAATCCTCCGCCCAAACTCCCCAATGCCTCTTCTCCTTTTGGTGAAGGACAGTAAAGAATGCCCTGCAAGTAGGCAATCTTAGAGCAAAATATATGGAAATTAATTAGTAAACCAATAATTTTTTATTGTACCATATAAGCAATGACTAACTTGATCTTATATTGCATAGCAGTGTTCCTTCCTCACCATCCTTCACAGTCCTCAGGTCCCAGTCCCTCAGTTCTTTGTTGTCCTTTACACCTCTTCTGCCTTCTACTTAGTCTACTGTTTGGGTGGAGATGCCCAGAGTCAGGGAGGTAGGTGGCAGATAGATGTGGCCTTTATAGGCCTATTTTTGTTCCTTTTATGGGATTAGCATTTGCACACACCCCATCACTGCACATTTGTACCAATGGCAGGTAGACAATATATTTCAAACTTTCAACAACTGTCTAAAAGTCAAACCTCATTTTTTCCACACTAATTCTTTGGGGAATGTTACAGTTGTAGAAGGACCTACAAAGTAATTGCAAGTCCTCCCAGCATTCCAGACTGTGATACACATCAACATTGACATATTCACCTGAAGCAATGTTAATGATTTCCTTAACAATTGCATCCTGAGCCTCTTCATACTCTTCTCTGTTCTTTATATATTCATCATTGACGGAGCTCAGTTTGCTGTGAACAAAACCACAGTATTTAGAAGCTGTGATGTTCTGTCTTCACTGCTACAATGCCAAACTTCCGGCCTCCTCATCTATGAGTCAATACCAATTGTCCCCACCTGTTTTAACAGCAAGGTTCAGCACAAGGACCACAAAGCAACTAATCTACGATTCATACACACCACAAAATCAGTAAGATTAATTCCAAGTTGAAGATCACAAAGGCCAAACCAGCAATTCTAGCACCTCTGAACACATAATTCTTAAAAATCTTACAGTAGTTGTTTGTTACAGACATGCTATGTGTTAAGGACTTGCTCTTAAAGCTGAATTTCTGGCCATTTTGCAACAAGATGTGGCATGTTATAGAACTGGCAGAGGAGGATTGCTGCTAAGCAACTGTGTAATTAGCCCAGAGTCCTACAACAGGCTTATCAGAACTGAAGGCACTGACTTCTTTCATTTAGTAAAAACCTCAGTGAACTACTGTCACCAAGAACAGGTTCTAGTCTTCAAAATAAGGTAACTTGAAGTCAAGAGAGAGTTTAAACAAGTGTTTATTCTTCTCAAGCTCGTCTCCGAACATGGAGCAGAGTCTGGAGGACTGAATATGAAACACACCCCAGTACTGCACCCACACTGTGAGCAGAAGTCAGCCTTGTGCTTCCAGTACCATCTACAGAAGCAACTATAACTTAACTAAGCACAGAGAAGTCTGTTTTATCAGTGATCCATGAGCTTCTTCCCCAAGGGAAAGTAACAGATGACACAGTAGAGGTTCTAAGTACCATCTCAGTTACAGAAAAGCCTAATTTCATCATTACATTTAGATTCCTAACATATTTAGAACCAAAAAAACAAAATGCAATTAAGGTTTACACTTTGTTCATTTAAGTAAATTGGTGCGAAATACACCAACATGTTGGTTGGCGTGAACCAATATGTTTGCCCTGTTTTTCAAAGCAAACGATTTATTACTATGAAAGTGAGTGATTAACAGAAACAGTCATTATTAGTGATAGCACTGGCTTGAAACCAACCTTGCCCTGTAGGCAGTGCTCCTCATACATGTCTGTCAATCAATATGTCTCTCAATAAACTCACTTCCCTGATGCTAACTCCAACAGGAACTGTTATACATAAAGCAATAGCATCATGGTTTGTCTGAAACAGACTGTATGATGTATTAATCTCTGCTATTTTTACCCTTCCGTATACAACACATGCAGGAGATTTAAAGACTAGTTTTCTCCTGGACCTGCCACTGACAGACAAGGAGGAACTCATCATGAGGTTGAAGTCCAATTAGTGGCTGATTATTAGCAGCATTTCTTAGGGTTGATACTGGGGCTGATACTATTTATGCCTTGATTAACAACCTGAATGATGGGACTGAATGGACTCTCAGCAAGGTTGTGAGCAATACCACATTAAGGGGAGCTGTCAGCACGCTGGAGGACAGGGCTGCCATTCATTAGGATATCTACAGACTAGAGAAATAGGTGGACAAAAATTTCAACAGAGGCAAATGCAAAGTCCTGCACCTGGGATGAAATAACTCCATGCAATAGTACAGACTGGGGTCCAAATGGCTATAAACCAGCTATTCATAAAAGAGTTGGAGGACCCAGCCGACAAGAAGCTGAACACGAGCCAGCAGTGTGCCCCTGATGCAGAGGAGGCCAAGCCCATACTGGCTGCACTAGCAAGAGCATAGCCAGCATGTCAAAGGAAGTGATTCTTCTCTATTCAGCACCCATGAGACCACATCTGCAGTGCTGTTTCCAGTTTTGTCTTCCCAGTGTAAGAGAGACATCGAACCTGGAACAGATGGCCACCACAAAGATTTCAAGGTGGAGCACATAACATACAAGGACAGGTTGAGAGAGATACCTGCCCAGACTGAGAATCTGAAGTCCACCTGGAGAGGAGAGGCACCAGACTCTTCTTGGAGGTGCACAGCAAAAGAATGAGATACTAAAAATCTAAGCTTCTGCAAGGAAAATTCTCATTAAATCCGATCAGGAAAGTTTTCACAAAGAGTGGTTCAGCACTGGAACTTGTGCACCACCAGAGGTTGTGAAGGATGCTTGGAGGATGGGCACATGGCCAAGGCCTTGAGCCACCTCATCTAACTTTGAGATAGGATCTAATTTCCAAGGTAACTCTGCTGTGAGTGAGGGGTTAGACCAGTTAACCTCAAGAGATTGCCTTCAGCTGAAGTTATTACCTGATTCTGCACATGCAACTTTCTACTTTGTTTGCTCTCTGTAAAAATAATGAAGTACAGAGAGACATCTGATGACTGAGGTAGCCCTTGCTCCTTCTAAAATGCTCTAGGAGAGCTAAAAATTCAACAGAAGTATGCTTGGCTGACCTGTGACAGAACTGCTGTCCAGACAAGGAAACACTGAAACAGCATCAATGCAATTAGCCTGAAGACTGAAATTTTTCAATAGCTTAATCTATATATGGAATTAAAAAAAAAAAAAAAAAAGGTAATCACCAACAAAACTGCTGCATGTCATATTTGGTGATAAGTGCAAATAGCTCTTTTCCTATTGCAGCTTGTAAAAGTGTCTGTATAAATACTCACAGTGAATGCAATTATGCTACTAGCTGCAGCTAAACCAGAGAAATTAGCCCAAGTCAAATGACCCCAAATAGCTAACAGTTGGCAAAGTAAATGGGGAAATCAGCTTTTAAACAGACACTGTATGACTACTCCTCCCTCATGCCAGTCTTGCTCAGTATCTCACTCTGTGAGCCAATTAAAAAGGTGAAAATTCAGCCATTCAAGACATAGGGAAACCAGTTTATCAGCATACTTATAAAGAAAGGAACAATTTTGTTTCTTTCACAACAGTCTTGAAAAACTACCAAGATGATCTCATACCTGTTAGTAAATTTCACACCGTTCTTCTGTGTATCAACTATTCCATATTTTGAATTGTTACGGAGAACTTTTTCCTCCTTGCAAGTTATTCGAAAGTGATGTCCAAACTGTGAATTTGTCTCCAGTTTGATACTTTTGCCAGCTTCCAAACCTTTTAGATGAAAAGAAAGAAAAAAGAAAACAACTGTATTATCAAAAATCCTCCAGCCTGTGCTATTTCTACTCACTAATTCCCAGTTTGTGTGCCATAGCCTCTCTTAAATATGCTACTCAGTATACTTGTTCTGGTTCTCTACAAGTATGAGAAACACCCAGACCTAACAGAATTTTACTGATTCATTCTCCACTCTTACTTTGATATGCTCTCAAACTGCATATTCAAATCAGCTTCATGATTATTGTATTACTACATATTCTTCAGAAACAAGAGAAATGTTCATAGCACACTGCAAGGACATTCTATATCACTGCTGTAAGCACAGCAGCTGTAGTCTTATGACACTAAAAAAAAAAATATCAAGACCAAAAAAAAAAAAGCAAGTCCTTAAAGGTGTAACCTAAAATAACTATGGTGGTGTCAGTTTTCCTTGCCATATTTGCATTAAACATTGATTTTTATTTTTAAGTTGCTCTTTGAATGCTGTGGTGGTACATTCCCCCCCCCCCGGCTCTGTTTTTCTGTTCTGTTTTTCCCCTTCACTTCGGCCGCTTTACAATCTCAGGAATTCCCAGGCCGCAGCTTTTGTGTAGCGAGTTGGTCAGTTAAGGGCCCCTTAATTGTACCAGAAACTCCTACAT